GCTGATGCTGCGACAATGCTGGCAGTGACGCTGAACTCGGTGTAGTGATGGTGGTGATGTTGTTGGGAGTGGCTGGCAATTGTCAGTGATGCAACCTCGCGCTAGCTGCCTTCTCCGTCCCTTTACATGAAGGCTCAAGCTGCTCTTCTCGCAGTGGCTGGACATCTCCAACACTGCAATGTTTGTGATGATCATTGTGATCTGCGCAGCCAGTGCCGCATCTTCGTGCCCCAGATTTGCATTGTGTCAAAATAGCAGAATGACATGAATAACTGAATAACTTGAAGGGAATTTCTTGGCCGGAACTCTGTGCTTCCCACTCCTAGTCTCATCTCGGCAGAGAGTGACCAGATCTGCTTTGCGGTGTTCTTGGAATGTTCAGGTACTGGGTGGAGCAAGTTCCAGACGCGTGCAAAGGCAAGTCGTCGGGTTCGAGCTTTACCCGCTGGCTGTCTAGATGATTTGCAGGGCCGGGTGCTGTGTCTTGCGTTTGTGTGGCACTGCTTGCCCGGCGCACAGCCAAAGCACAGACGCAAGTTTGAGGCTTTCGGCCACCTACAATCACAGAGACATCGCAGAATAAAGTGCAACGCCACCACTAGTGACCGCTAGTGCTGTCTGGAGGCGCCAATGGCTTGGAATCTGAAGAGGCTCGGATTCCCTCGTTGCTTCAGGCAGGTCACTAAGCACCGGGCCGGAGGACATGGAGCGCACAGACCGGCACTTCGATCGAGAGGAAGGGCCGAAGGGCGGACCCAAGAGGGTCAGGCCCTGGCACTGTGAAGCCTTGTCTTGAGCACAGGCCATCGACTCCCCTGCTGGACAGACGATGTCGAGATCTCGGAGTGTGAACACTGCGGTGGGCTGCAGATGGCGTCCCACGATTTATGAGGCTGGAAGAGCGGGCAGCGTTAGAGCCTGCGGCGCACCCAAGTGGACCGAACACGTGTTCCAGTTTATTCTGGTCTGTGCCTGCCGCCGCAAGCTTCAGCAGTTTGAGGTCACGCCGTCCAGGCCAGTTCCGCTCCGAGTCCAGGCAGAGGAGTGTGAGCCGCTGAAGTTCGAGCGCTACGAGCTCCAACCGGTCACAAGCAGCCCAGATCAAGGTAGGTGGACGGAGCATGAGGATGTCGGCGAAACTCCACGCAGAAGGGACGAGATGAGAAGCTTAGCAGCCTCAACTGGATCCAGCGGTGACCATGGAGGCGAGAAATCTGAGGAGGATCCTGATGAAGAGCACCCAACACAGACGGACGAAGGGCAGGCGTTAGGAACACAAAGGCTGGGCCATTGTGGTCCCGAAGGACTCCACATTGAAAATGCAGATGCAGGAGCCGTGTCCAAGCTTTGAGAGTTGAGTCTATGGACCGTTGCGAGGTGCCCGAAGCCTCAAACTGTCGTTCATCTGGTAGCTCCTTTGGCTATTTTTTTGCAGGAGTGACGGGAGCAGCAAGCGCTGAGGACGGAGAACGCCTCCATCTGACGGCGTTTGGCTGAAAACTCGCGCCCGTGCAGCTGTTTGTGCTGGCTTTGGTACATGTGGAGCTGTCGAGACATCCATGCCCAATGCTGCGCAGACTTTGAGTTCATGCAATGTCTAACCCGTCTGGCTCAAGTCTCAGCCTTCCGCTGACAATGCTAGCTTCCACCTCAGTAGACGGAGAGGAAGAGAGCTCATTCTGGGACCCTGGAAGTTTCCATACTTGGCCCGCTTAGATTAGGCCGTTCTTCTCGTTTGATTTAGTGCCTGAGGACTGAAGCGGCTGCACCTCAGCCGGCCCACCAGGTTGCCGAGGGCTGCGATCCAACTGTGCCGAGCAGGCATGGCCTCGTGTTCAGAAGTGCGACTGCCATGGATGTGCTCTACTCATCAATATCAATGAATGTTTGTCATACATAGAACCGAGTTGGGGTTGGCCTTCGGGCCGGGGGGTTCGCAGCAATGCAACCTGCAGCAAGCCCTTCTGAACCAGCTGTTCATGTGAGTGCGGTCTGATGCTGCTTGCAAAGGGGATACACAGGATTCAGGGTCGCGGGGTTAGGGCAGGCAGGTAGGTGTGAGGCAGTGCTGTGCAAGGTTCGGTTTGGTTCAGGATGCAGGGGGCAGGGTTTGAAGACGGGCTAAAGGTGTAAGACGGGGGAGAATCCTCGGTAGTCTCACGCCGACGTGCGCTGGACGCAACCCCTACGGGAAGGGTGCCTTTGCGCCCGTACTCTGCAGCAAGCAAGCAAGCAGGGGAGCACCCCGGCCCCTAGCCCCGAAAGAGAGAGGGAGAGAGCGCGAGCAGCGGGTGATTGCTTCGGCAAGGGACACTTGTCATGATCATGCACTGTCTTCGGTTCCTGCTTGTTTCCAGGCACCGACCCTCAGGCACGCGGAAAAAACAAAGTGAAAAACGACGCTGTGGCTCCGTCAAAAGTGATTGTATGTTGAATTCGTGCCTCAAGCGTTCTTCTATGTTCGCTTATGTACGGAGCCTCGTGGAGCCACAAACTCGACATGGACTTTCCAATTCGTAACTTTGCCCTCTTCTGTCCTTGTATTGCTGATTGGGCCTTTTTCGGTCGTCCAAGCTTTCGAGGGCGCACTGCCAGCAACGTCTTGCCACCTCAGGGAGCGCACATATCCCCGGGGCTGGGGGGGTGGGGGGTCACCCGCACCCCAGCCGGGTGAAGGTTCGCTCTGGCCTTGTGTTTGTCTGCAGCTTGCTAGGCCCCAGGGTTCCGGGCGAGTCCAACCGCGAGGTTTCACGCCGACCAAAGCGCCAGACGCTGGACGTTGAGAACCTCTCCCGGGGGGGCGGGCAGGGTTTTGCCTGCTCTAGATCTTGGGCAAGCAAGCAAGCAAACCCGCCAAGGAACCGCAGGTGTGCGTGCGCGCACGCAGAGGGTGGCTGGACCACCGCTATCTTCTTCACGGCCGCGGCCGCTGGACCCCCCCTTGCAAGCAAGCAAGCAAGCCATCTGCTAGAACTGAAGATCATGGAAACCACAATAAACAGAAAATTGGATGTCGCCCCGACCCAAACCTTCAGTTCAGTTTTCACGTCCATCCAGCGCGACCAGAAACAGAGGGGCCCTGGTGGCTCCCAAGCCTTGCTGAAGAAGCAGAGCTGGCTGTTGTTCATGACCAGGGGACACGTAGGGGGACACGACCAGTGCCGTGGGGCGGGGGCTACGTTGCTCTGCTACAGTACAGTTCTGCATCGACGGTGTGTTGGTTGATGTGGCAGGCGATGAGCGTTCATAGACCGTCTGAAAAATCAAAGCGCGCAAAGGAGAGAAGAGCAGCCATTATCGTCGGTTTAGATTCGACATATCCTGGGGGACATATCTTCCTCAAGCTGCAAGTGCTACACCCGCTGTCAGGAAGCCGTGGCTGAGTCGCAAAACCATGCAGGCCTGGTGTCAATTGGCGCATCTCAACTCTGCACGTCTGATTGCACGAAGAAGTGCATCTCACAAAGAAACCACGGGTCCACCGTCAGGCCACGTGGCCCTTGATTTTACTAGTGCTGCTCTTGGGCGCTGCAGTGGCGCTGCTCCTTGGCTTTACACTGGAAGGACGCAGGCACCAGATCTGTAAAAGTGCACATGCAACCTTCTTGAGCCCTTGGTGTCTGTTTTGCTTTACATCAGTTCGAACAAAGGTGCAGCTTCCTCGTTTACGTGGCAGAGCTGTACAGGCTTTGTGCTTTGTTGATGGTGGATGTTAACATGTTGAGGGCATGCTTGTTCATGTTCTTCTCCTTGGGCGTTTGTCTTTTGTTGTTGGCGTGACTTCCTGGCTTGGCGACATTCTATCTTCTGAGATTGGGGGCTGGGCCACGCCTTGCAACAAGTGACTGGTCACTTCAGCATCTTTCCCTGTCCCTTATGCGCTGTAGTTTGCTGGCTCAGCACAGGTGTCGCTACCTAGAGAGCAAGCTTCGGATTCCAAGCCACTGAAAGATGCAGAAAATGATTTGTTTGCGAACTTGAGTGGAACCTGATTTTGGTGCTATGGTGCAAAGTAGTCAGCGGTGAGTGGTGCACAGCGGGTTCAGAAAAACATGTGTCTTGACGGGTGCATTAGGTACTGTGTTGGCTGGGGTCGGGATGTGGTGTCAGCGTCTGGACGAAAATTAAGGCATGCAAGCACCGACAGAGACACGTAATACTCTTCAATTCCCAAGACGCTAGAGTTGGACTTCGGGATCTGTCACGCTTCCTTTTCAGTACTGGTGTGGGTCAGCCACACATGTGCCTCGCCACATATGATGCATGAGTGACTGATTGAATGAATTGTTGCATGAATGGCATGAGTGCATGAATGAATGCATTAATGAACGAGTGAATCAATGAATCAAAGACGGCTTCTTCTGTTCTGGTATGGTATGGCATGGTATGGTACGGTAAGCATGCGTACGTGCACATGTCTGTGTATGTGTGCGGCTATTCGTGTGTGCATGTTTAGTATGTATATGTAGTTAAAGTTGGGTTTGACGTTTGCAGTTCAGCTTGAGGCAAGCGACGTCGGTGTATTATGGGGGGGGGCAATATTTTCTCTGTTTGCACTGTTAAAGTTTAGAGCGTTCCTTAGTGTATGCTGTCGGGGGGGGAGCCAAAAGGATCCGTCATGGAAAGCCCCTGTATAGCCGAGCCAGTGGGGGGAAACCCCTCATTGGAGTTTTACCAAGACCAGCAGGTGCGCGCGAGGGGGTAGGTGTCCTGCCTCTTCTGTTCTGGTGGAGAGAGAGACGAAGGAAGAGAGAGAGAGAGAGAGAGAGCGAGATAGACTGATAGACTTCGATATCGTTTCTCGCCGACCTTCTGCGCTGGACACAGGACGAACGGGCCCCCTCATGGCGGGAAGTAGGGGGAATATCGGAATACCCCGGCCTTACACCGTTTATGATGTTACTCTGATGGTATCAACACAAGTACCTGTAGCAAAAAAAAATATCCATTGGCAAGGCTTTTTCCTGGTTGGGCACCTGTGCGCAGCTTCGACAAGGAGCATGCAACTCCCTCCAGGGTTCAGATGGGTTGCAACAGAGACGTATTTACAGCACCCACAGCTACTAGATGCAATGACGATCTCACAATTGAGCCGGCTTCATCAATGCATATTATGCATGGCTTTCTGAAGGAGGACGGGGCTGCGAAAAAGATGACGTTGTTGTCTCAGCTGACTGCTTGTGGTTGCTCGGAAGCCGTGTCAACTGCTGAGCAAACGCAAAATCCGTTTTGGCAGTGGAGACCTCATCTCATTGACCTCGAGGTATGGTTCTGCAGCCCCACCTGATCCAAAGAGCCAGGAGAAATTGCAGGCAGGTTGCATGGACGGCCAGTTCAATCGAAACTTGGAAGTCTTCAGGTGCCCTGGGACACCCTTGAGAAGACATGGCATCCAGTCCATGGCGAGGAATGGAACCTTGTACAAACTTGTTCATTTTCAAAGCTTGTGCTTGCCGACGTGCGTCAGGTGGAGTTCCGACCTGCATTCTGCGACACACAGCGTCCCGGAGGACAATAGCGACGCACTGCCAGCTTGGAAGTCGAGGAAAGCTTCAACATTGCAGGGAGAACCCTGCATCCGAGGTATCTTCGCAGCCACAGCACATGGTGGGCTCGAGACGAGCCTCATTTCAAGGCTTCCCAGAACACTTTCAGTTTGCGTCTTTGCATCAACTCCGAGAGATCGCTCGACAAGCCACCGGCACTGTACCCAGGCCATGAACAGCACCCCGTGGAAAATCATGGGGCACCATTGTTGCGATATGTGCGGGCCGTTGCGGTGTCTAACAGCATGTCAGCAGTCCGGATGCAAACAAAGCAAGAAAGTCCAGAGTTATTTCTGGACGGCAGATGTACGCACCCGGAACCCTGCCCGGCTGCCAGCCACCACCACTGCGCCGTCTACTATTTCTGCGTTTGACCGCCGCGAGGAGCTGCTACACCTGCAGCCGAGTCGACATGACAACAACCACACCACCACCACCGCC